GCCTTCCTTTCAGAGAAAAGAGAACTGCTCTGGGCTTCTCTGGCGGCTCCACCCCTTCTGCCCTCCACAAATCTAGGAGTACGTGAGCTGTGTAAAGCAAGTGGTGGCACAGATGGTGCCTGGGAGTGGCTGCTTGAATGAGCTGTTGGGGACATTTCTTCACAGGACTAGTGAGATGATGCTACAGCCTGTCTTGTCTCCCTCCATGAAAAAAATAAAGAAAAGTAGGTAGTGGGTTCTGTTCCCATCACAGTGGGAAACTCATGCTCAGGGAGGGCGAGAGAGGCTCCCTCCCTCACCCCAACCCCAGTCAGGGGCCTTCCTGTCAGGCCGCTCAGTCTGACTCTGACACCTGGCCTCCCACTGCCTCTGTGGCTCAGGGGTCTGTCCATTCATGTGTAGCCCTCTCTGAGCACTTGCTGTCACAGGGCCCTGTGCGGGGCCCTGTGTACATAGATGCTTCGGTGTGAGCCCTGGCGCCCAGGAGACACTGGCCGAGGAGGGTGGCTGGTGGGACTGGTGCTGAGAGGGCATGGAGGGGCCTCTGGGCTGAGGGAGACCGGGGAGGGTGGCATGGGAACAGACAAGATGCAGCCGGAGGCTGAGGCTCCCTACTGGCCCCACCCAAGACGGGGGGACGGTTGGGCTCAGTGTGACGGTGGTGGCAGTGTGGCGTCTGATGGCAGCACTGACATCCACGTCTGCTTCTGCCATAGCCTGAGCAGAGGAGGCAATGACAGCTGGGTGTCAGGGCTGGCTGTGGCCTTGGGTACCCAGCTGAACCTCACTTCTCATCAGCCAGGCAACCATATGGGGGCTGTGGCTGCGAGGTAAGCCTCTGGGTCGTGTCCCCAGGAGGGCAGACACCAGAGTCCAGCAGTAGAAGAGACTGTAGAGTTCATACCCCCCAACCGCATGGTACAGACGGGGGAACCAAAGTCCAGAGAGGCAAAGTGACACGGCCAAGGTCACACAGGTGTCGGTGGCGGAACTGGGACTGAAACCTCAAAACGTGTTGCCACTTCACCTACTCCATGAGATGCCTACTCCTGGCCTGGCCTGGCCCGTGAGGGAAAACACCGTCCCCTCTTGCTCCCGCCTACTTTGCTGTGGAGAGAAGAGAAAAGGAGCTCAGGGGGACCTGTGGCCTGGGAACAGAATCTAAGCCTGGATGTTGGGCCTGAATAGAGTCTGTCTCTGGCCAAGTGAATTGACCACCCTCTGGCCACCCGACCTTGACCCTGTCACTTTTTTATCACCATCAAAATGGGAGTGATGGTGCCAAGCTCCCTGACCTAGTGAGGAAACCGAGCGCCCGTGAAAGTGCTCTGTGGCCGTGTGGGCAGCACACCTGTCGCACAGGGGGGGGGCGGGGGAGACGGTGCTGAGGAACAGCCAGAACAGAGACCCACTCTTCTCACTCAGCAAACCTTCCCCGTGTTTGCTCTGGGCCAGGGCCTGGCAGGCTGCTGGAAACCCAGATGTGGACGGGCCTGGCTCCGTCATGGGGGAATGGATGTGTAATCCGCCGCTAGGGCAATGTGGAGGGCTTTGGGACCCAGAGGGGGTCGTCTTTCCTCTCCCTTATTTCTCTGCTCTGTGGGCCTCTCCTGACTTCATTCCAGACAAGTTCTCTCCATGCTTCTGACAGCTCTTGGTTTGCACAGACTTTAGAGTTTACAATCCCAGAGAAAGAATGACGACCTCTCTCCAAAGACCTGCCCTTTCTGGGTTTCGAACAATGAGCTGCCTCATCTCATTTTCAGGGTCTCATCAGGTGGGCACAGCAAGGAGGGGTTTCTGGGCAGAGGAGCTGTGACTCGACACCTCTCAGGTCCACATGGGGCTTTCCCGGGGGCTGGGGCTCAGCCTCCCTCACAGGCCAGCTCCAGGGCTGGGCTCTGAGGTCAGTCAGGTTCTGATGGTTTGGCCTGGAGGCAGCTTAGTGCGCCAAGCCTGAGGAACGTAGTCATAGCTTCCCCCCGGAATCCCCCCTAGGCAGCCTCTCAATCTGACTCCCACGGAAGCACCTGTCATGCCTCTGTGGCCTTGGTGTTTCCTACTTTGTTGTAGAGTGGGCTGTGGGTGGTGGTTGGACTAAGGCAGGGAGAGAACAGTCTGGGCAGCGCAGAAAAGGCCTGACTCTGGCTGCTTGCCATGGAGCTGGTGCAAGTCCCTCAGGCCCCTTCTTTCTGTCTGGTTAATAGAGTGAGGGTTGCACACCTTCCCGAGCTCTGACTGTATCTGATCCCGAGAGACCACTAATAAGCCTAGCAGATGGCTTTGGATTAGGCATTGGCAAGAATGCGTCTTTTCAGTGGTTTCGATGGAAGCTATGCCACCAGTGTGGAATTACTGTGCGGTTCCTCCCCAAGCAGGAGACCTCCATAGGGTGGGACCAGTCAGCTGGCCCTGACCTGGAACAGGGGCTGCACAGCAAGCCCTTTCCTTAAGCGCCTCAAGCTGCTGGCCTCGGGGTTCCTGTCTGCTATAGGAATTGGTCACATCAAGCAATGGGTGATGCCCTTCCCTCCATTGCCTTTTACTCCCTGCCTAGAAGGTGGAGGTCCTCAGCTCCTCCCCGTCCCTCCTTCCCTGCCCCAGACTGGCCCTCCCTGAGACTTTGACAGAGGATCTTTTTAAAATGCAGGTTTCAATTTGGTAGATCCAGGCTAGGGCCCCAGATCCTGCATTTCTAAACAGCTCCCAAGTCTGTCTTAGGAGTTGTTTTTTTTGTTTGTTTGTTTTGTTTTTTTTGGTTTTTTTTTTTTCAAGATTTATTTATTTGACAGAGGGAGGGAGGGAACATGCACAACCAGGGGGAACTGCAGGTGGAGGAAGAGGGAGAAGCAGGCTCCCCACTGAGCAGAGAGCCCAATGTGGGGCTCTTCAGGTCCCACTTTGAATGGGAAAGTGTGGGAGTACATTCTGTCTTCTCTGCAGCCAGGGCATGCGGTCTGCCCCAGCCCCTGAGCAGGGACTTGCCTCCCCTTAGCTGCCATGGCTCTTGCCTCACTTCCTCCAGCACAGCTCGGGAGGCTGAGCCAGCTGGGAAGCCATGACTTGAGCAGGCTGGGCCTGGGATCAGGGGTTCAGGCCTGTGCTTGGGCCTCACTTCTCCCCACCATGAACCTCCACAGGCCTTTCCCCACTTCTGGACCGGTTGACTGGGCCCTGAGCATAACACACTTCAGCTCTGCTGTGTCCCATACACAAGAGCCCTTTGTCTTTGGCACCTGCTATGGGGAAAAAGGAGGTACCCTGAGCAGGAAGCAGGAATCCTGGGTTCTAGCCCTGGCTCTGCCTCCCACTGCCTGGGTAAGCCTGACAAGTCAGTGCCCCTCAGTCACCGGAGGGGCCTGTTGGGCCCTACCAGATGACCCCAGGGGGCCTTAGGCCCCGGCATGGGTTTGGGGAAGGTGTGGAGATGGGAAGGACCTGTGGCAGTAGGATTTTCATCTAGAGAACCAGGGATCGTTATCCCAAAACCTCTACCATATCTTTGTTCCCAGCCTCATTTGCTTCTGTGAGTTCCCCTACTACCGCCTCCACCCAGTTAGGCCTGTGGAGTAGTAGATGCTACCGAGAGCCCATAGGTGCTGTGCCCTGGGGGTATGGCAGGGAGCCTTTGTGGTCTTGCCTGGGCTCAAGGTTCTGCTGGCATCAGGCCCTTCTGCTGGATCGTGCCCCGTTCCTCCGATCCACCAGACCAGGTACAGGAGACAGGACTGGTGTGTCTGCCTTAAGATCCAGTGTTATCTGTATGTCTCCTAAAAGTTAACTTTCAGCCGATGTGGTTTATGTCCCTTTCTAAACTCTGCTGTGACCTTGTTGCTCTCCAGATTTTGAAGAAATGCAAAGGCTGAAGCATAAGTCCCTAACCCCCTCTCCCAGCAGTAGGCCCGGGTGAAAGGTCATGTGACCCTCAAGGACAACCCTGTGACACAGTCCTTGGGCCCTGCTGAGTGACTGGTGTGAAGCCAGCACCCAGCAGGCACTCACTGAAATGTGTAGAGCGAAGGGCATGCAGCTGGGGCTCAGTGGGCAATGGGGGCTGGAAATGGCCCACTTCCTTTTGTCCAGCCCCTGGAGGGAGTGGGCTATGGACTAGGAACCTCGCCCATGCTCTTCCCCAGTGCTGCCTCTCCTGCCATCACCAGGCTTTCAGGTCCCATGGCCACTGGAGTCTAGGACATCATCCTGGGGGCACAGCCAAAGAGCCAATTAAGTAGGCACATTTCAGCCTAACTTCTAGGCTTGGTGGCCGCTTGGTAGCGGACATAATTGCAGCTGTCACTATGCCAAGCTTCCCAAAGCTCACTGGCCACCGGATGCCTTCCGGGAAGCAAAAGCTCCCACCTGATTCCTTTCTGGCCCCCCAGCTCTGGGACCCGAGTTGAAGCTGGAAGTGTAAATCCCTCTAAAGGCAGTAATGGTGGTGGGGGGGTGGTGGGAACTAGAGGGCTCAGTCTGCTGGGAAAGGGGTCCTGGAGATGAGAGGGGGCAGGGACTGGGGCACTCAGAGTACACTTGGAGAAAAAAAAAACATTGCAAATTGGATATTGAACCTCTGTCCTTGGCCTCCCAGGCACAGGTAGCATAGATTAAATATTTGTACTAGATCCAGATAAAGGATAAGGACAGGAGTTGGATTGGGCTGGAGGGGAGGGAAGAGAATTGGCAATTAGGGAGAGCCTCCCCCCACCCCAGCCCCTTGGGATACTTCATTTGGTCTCCAAAATGACCCCATGAGGGGAACACCATTTCCAACGGGTATATATAGACACTGGGGCACAGGGAAGGATGTGAACAGACCAGAATCACAGAGCTCCCAGGGGGCGGGGCTATAATCAGAACCCTCATCAGTCTGACGTTGCGGCCCGGCTCCCATCCGGTCTAGGAAGTTGTCCAGGAAGGTGTCCGTGGAGGCGGGTCGGTGTTGGGGGCTCTGCGCCTGGAGGGAAGGGTGGCAACAGGCGGGCCTCTCCCCTCTCCTGCAGGCACTGGCTCCAGCATCCTCTCCGCCCTCCAGGACCTCTTCTCCATCACTTGGCTCAACAGATCCAAGGTGGAAAAGCAGCTGCAGGTCATCTCGGTGCTACAATGGGTCCTGTCCTTCCTCGTGCTTGGTAAGCTGGGGCTTAGAGGGTGAGGGCAGGCAGGGTTCTTCCCAGCAGAGCTGAGAGCTGGAGCTCTACTCTGCAGGGGTTATGGGGAAGAGCACCCTCCCCCTTATCACCTTTCGGGTGCCCGATCAAGTGCTCTGGCCCTGGGCATGCACGAGGACTTGGCGCTGCAGTGGGAGGTGGCGGTATACTTCCCATTTTATGGAGAGGAGACCCAACTCTCACCAAGTTACTTACCTTGTCCCAAGTCACACAGATTTGAATCCAGGTCTGTAGGCTCCCCAAAGGCCGTGCTTCTCCCACGTGCTACCCTGCCTGCCAACAACCATTTCCCAGCAGGCATGTTGCTTTGCCTTAGTGTGCTGTGGTGCCAGCTTGAGTCCTGACCCTACACAGACAAGCTCTGTGACCTAGAACTCTCTGGAAGTTCATTTCCTCATTTCAGCTGGGGCAAAAACACTGCCTTCTTCACAGCACCTTTGTGGGACTTGAAGATGAGGGATGAGAGCTTGCAGCACAGGACCTGGTCACAGTGGGCGCCCATTATAAGGGAGTCGCTGGGGGGATGTGCCCTCAAACCCCACTCCCAGCTGCCAGTCCCCAGTGGCTCCTGCTGAGACATTAAAAGCTTCATCCCTTTCTCTCTCTCACCCCCTCCCCTGCCAGGGCTCTGGCTACTTCTTCAGGGCCAGCTTGGTGCTCTCATTCCCTGGCTTGCCCCCCGGACCAGGGTAAGGCCATGACAGATTGTCTGGGAGGAGGATAGGGCCCATTCATGGGCCAGCCCTCACTCTCCTAGCCTCACCTCTTCCCCAGGCTCCCCATGTTCTCAGCACCTTGAGTGGCCTCCCAGCACGTCCTAGCAAAGCATCACAGAGCACATTCTGGTGCCTGTGGGAGGGTCCTTCCGGGCACAGCACTCTTTAGGACGGTCCGGGCTGATGGGAATGGTCAGGAGCTACCTTTTCAGTGCCAAGCCCCTGGCTGATGGGGATGGTCAGGAGCTACCCTTTCAGTGCTGAGCCCCCGTCCTTCCAGGAGGCATGCGGGCCTCTGAGACCACATTTTCAGGGTACTTCCATGCTGTCCCTGCCTGCCTTTTCAGGGCAGGGGGACAGGACAGGGGTGCTGTTTGTCAAGCCTGCACAGGCACCTGATGCGCCTTCCCTTGATTTCTACGTCACAGGTGAGGAAGTGGAAACTTACCGAGCTTCAGTGACTCCCTGAGACTGTGAGACTCCTTGAGTAGCATAGTTGGGATTTGTGTGGAAGCCCAGAGCACTCGCCAGGGAGCCCACCTTATTGGAGAGCTCAGAATCAGTGGACCTGGTCTAAAACAACCAGTTTTCACTTTTAGGCCCAAGGGTAGGTTTTAGGGAGAGGGCCATGAACCCCCCCAAATTAGGTGAAAAATTATGTGAGTATGTGTACCTGTTTCTGGGGTGAGGAGCAATTACCATCCTCACATTCTTAAAGAGATCTCTGGCCTCAATGAGATAAACACTGGTCTGGCTAACCGAGCAAATTAAACTGGTTCCTTTAGAACTCAGACCTCCACCCTGGCCTACATTTGGCTACTTCTTAGGATCCTAGAATAGAGAGCCCGGAGGAGCTGAGCCTTGCCCGGAATGAGAAGAAAGTAGTAGGACCAGGACAAGACCCCATGGACCACAGCCTTCCAGACACCTGTGCAGTCCTCTGCACCTGCTCCCTTGGCCCCCGTATGCACCAAGAAGCTGCCACCATCCCTGTCTTAGCTTGGCTGCCAGAGAGCTGAGCCGCAGCCAGAACCCCAGCCCGTGCAGTCTGCAACAGGGACTGGCCTCAAGGTGTAGGTCAGCAATCGATCAAGTTCGACATGGCCCAGAAACCGGCGCAGCGTCTTCCCCACGCCCTTGTGTAGGTGGGAGCCAAGCCTGCTCCAACGGGCAGGTGTGCAGAGCTGCTGCTAATTATTGCCCTGAGTCGCCCCATCTGCTCCTTCCTGCTCCCACCCAGATCTGCTGGCAGTGGCCCTCCTGGTGTTGCAAAGGCTGCCATGGCCTCACCGGCCTATCTCCAAACAGACAGATGCTACCACTTTTGTGCAGTGGACCCCTCTGGCATCCTGGTAAAGGCTATAAACCTTCCTCAGGGTTTTCAGACGTGTACTAATTACAAAGTACACCGGGCTTTAGAGAAAACCAGTGATACTGAAGTGTAGATATATACGTGCATTTAAGAAGTCAAATTAGGCATAAAGTAACACGTGTGCTTCTTTATTATTACATGAAATAAAAAGATCTAGCGGCGGACGAAATCATTGCTCTAATTCTTAATCATTTCAGTGAATAAATGATTTTCTTTAAAGATTTTATTTATTTATTTGAAACAGAGAGAGAGCGATCACAAGTATGCAGAGAGGCAGGCATAGAGAGAGAGAGGAGAAAGCAGGCTCCCCGCTGAGCGGAGAGCCCGATGCGGGACTCCATCCCAGGACCCTGAGATCATGACCTGAGCCGAAGGCAGAGGCTTAACCCACTGAGCCACCCAGGCTCCCTAAATGATTTTTTTTAAGATCTCTGCTGCAGCTCTAAATGTGGTATGAAAACACCTTTGCTTTCTCCCAGTGGCCCTGTTGACAGGTCGGCTGCCAACACTGCTGTGGTCTGTTACATGGGTAAACAGAAGCAATACTCTATTTCCCTAAGAGGGGTAAAAATTAAGGTGTCATTTTGTTCCCCATCCCAGCGTGTGGGGCTCCAGATGAAACGCTTGGTTGTGTGTTCTGTTCTCTTTCATATCATGTAAACTTCCCAGTGCCCTGTGAGGACACAGAGGCTCCGGGAGGGGCTGCAGCCCGTGAGGGGCAGGGCTGAGGCTTCCTGGCAGAGCCCGTCATGCTGCCTCCCTACCACGGGCTGCCAGACTCACAGGCCTTGGTGACCAGAGTTTTGAATCCCCAGTTTCACCTAGGCGTGGGGAGGTGACACTGGTGAAGGTGGCCCTAGGCCTTCCGTGCAGGGAGCCTGCAGGGTCTTTAAACAGTGGTTGACCCTTCCTGGGGCCTGTAGTGGGGGTGCTGGCTGCAGCCCCGTGGCCCCCGACGGGGAAGCAGGGAGCCCCTCGTTCAGAGGACTGGGATCAGGCTCGGAGAAAGGAGGCCGTTTGGTGGGTTCAGCTCATTTTTTGCTCAATAAACCTTTCTGGGGTCTGGGCACGTGCTGTGAGAGAGGGGCTGTGGGCACAGAGGGTCAAGGGGGGAGCAGGTCACCCAGGCTGTGAAAGTCCAGAACTGGAATACAGGCTCTGGACTCACAGTGGCTTCTTTCCTCCTCCTTCTGGGCTGCCTTAGCACATGCAAGGTAGGGATTCCCACTTTCCCAGAGAGCCCAGATTTCGAGGCAGTGGGGCCTGAGACTCAGCCCTGGTTGTTCCCTGTGCGCCTTAGGAGAACCGGGGTTCTGATGGCAGCTAGATTTCCAGGCTCCTCGAACCCTCACCTGAACGTCATGGTGCACCTGGGGAATCCAGCTTGGATACCTGTGGCCTCTAGGGGGCTGGAATGGGCCTTTCCCCAGTCCTGATAAATGGGGTCAGAGGCAAACTGCTCAACAGTGTGAGTGACTTTATAAGTGGCCTTAACTTAGACATAGCCATTCACCAAACTGCCCCAAGTACTTCCCAGTTGGCCTTTAATGGGGTTTTGTAGGCTGCAGATGCTTCCCTTGAGACCCCCCACTGCCCTGTCTGTGATGTCACACTCCTAAGCTGCTCCTGAAAAGCTGGATGTGCCTGGTCACTCTGTGTTCCTGTCCCTCCCGAGATAGTTGTACTATGTTTAGCTACTTTGGGAGAGGTTAGCTCGGGAGGAGAACAGGACTGTATTATGGACGACAAGGGAGCGCCATTTTCCTGCTTTAAGGCTCAGGGAGAGTCCCTCTGGCCCTCCACCCTCCCTCAGGAAACCAGAGGAGGCTCAGCATAGCAGGAAGATGAGAGAGCATGGGGTCCAGAGCTGGACAACCCCAGAGACCCGTGACCAGCAGGACCCAGCAGACAGCAAGCATTGACTCCCTCCCTGAGCAGTGGGGAAGGTGCTGGGTGGGAGCCACACTCCTACCAATGTGAGCCCCTGCTGCCCTGGCCCTGTGCTGTGTGCCATGAGGCAAAGAAGATGCCCGCCCCCTCCCCTAGAGTGGAGAATTCAGGGGTGAGAGATCTGTGTGGGAGGGCAGTGTGATCCTGGAGAATGTTTCTTGGGGAGATCTGCTCTGAGCTGGACCTGGTATGCTGGGTAAAAATGGGAAGGAGAGAGGCCCTGATGAGGAATTTTGGGGGCTAGCCCTGAGGTAAGCCAGCTTTGGCATAGACTTTCCTTCCTTGCTGCCTCAGGTTTTTCAACATTAGGGCCCCAAGACCCAGAAAGGAGTGACCACACGGAAGCTGGGGTCTTCTGACGGCCTTGCTGGGGTTTTTGCGAGGGGGCCTGATGGGCTGTTCGGTTTGGCCTGGGCCTGCCTGTGGCATTCTTATGTTGGAAGGGGCCAGCCCTCCTCCCAGGGCAGGAAGCTACCTGTTAGGTTCCTCTGGTGGCAGTCTGGGCCTTCTCATTTTTGGTGAACTTCTAAAGCCTGGTGCAGGTTATGGGTTGACTGGTCCAACCCCAGTCTGCCGAGACACCAGGGTGGCTCAGTCAGTTAAACTGAGTGCCTTCTGCTCAGATCATGATCCTAGGGTCCTAGGATTGAGTCCCACATCCTGCTGCTTGCTCAGCAGGGAGCCTGCTTCTCTCTCTGCCTGCTGCTCCCCCTGCTTATGCTCTTTCTCTCTCTCTCCCCCTCTCCCCCACCTCTGACAAATAAAATAAAATCTTTATGAATCCTGGCTCTGCAACTGCTGATTGACCTTGGGCATGTTACCTCCTCCTGGAGCCTCAGTATTCTCATCTCCAAAATGGGATAAAGTCCCCCTACCTCACACTTGAGGGGGTGGCTCAGCCCAAGTCCTGAGATGCAGAGACACTCAGCAGGTCCCTCCCCAAGGCCACAGGAACTGGGGCGGGCCCTGGGGTGGGGAGAACATGCAAGGAGGGGCCAGAAAGAATAAACCTAAGGACGGCTTTCCCAGTGCTACTGCCCACCCCACACAGAGCGCACGAGCTCCTCAAAGCCGGGAATGCCCATCAGAATCGAGGAGCTGAGGTTCTTGTCCCCGTGAGCCTCATCCTCCCCAGACTGCAGCTGTAGGCCTCCCCTGCCCACGGCCGGGGCCGCGCCGGAGCCATGTCCCTTGGTGAGCCTCACCCAGTGGGAGACTGAGCAACCCCCCCCAGGGAGTATAGGGCCTGACCCAAGGCCCTCGGTTTCCCCACCAGGAGTGGCCTGCAGCGCCATCCTCATGTACACATTCTGCACCGACTGCTGGCTCATCGCCGTGCTGTACTTCACCTGGCTGGTGTTTGACTGGAACACGCCCAAGAAAGGTAGGCGCACGACTGCCTTGCCCTTGGAACCCCCCCCCCCCCCGCAATGCAGCTGAAGTTCCCCAGTGTGGGGGCTGCCCCTTTTTACTCAGCACCTGCTCCATGAGAAGTAGGGAGCTAGGCCAGGCTGTGGTTTCTGGGGGGGGGGGGTGGAAAGCTCCTCAGAGAGCACAGTCCTGGTCCTTAGAGGAGCTCAGAGGAGCTCACAGTGCCCTCCCAGGGCCTCACACTCAGTCAAGGGTTTGCCTGCCTGGAGGGGACAAAGGTGGGACAGGACCCAGTGGGAAGCGGTGGGGGGAGAAGATGCTCCGCAGGGGGACAGTCCCCTAATTCAGGGTCCCACACTGACTCCATCTTCTCTGCCTTACCTGAGTGTCCCCTGCCCCTATTCCCACTCCTTCCCAACACTGTGTTTTGTTCCCTGGAAGGTGGCAGGAGGTCACAGTGGGTCCGAAACTGGGCTGTGTGGCGCTACTTTCGAGATTACTTTCCCATCCAGGTAAAGGCTTGTGGGTGTTAACCTGGGAGGGGGGGACAGGCCGGGAATCTGAGTGAGAGCTTTATCTCACCATCTGAGGTTACCCTGTGCAGAGTTCAACCCCGCGACCCCTTCCACTGTGACTGTCTGTTCATGTTCTACCCCTCCTTATGCAGGATTTGAGGTGATGTAGGGTACATTTGGTGTCATGCCAAGTAAAAACCAAAATCAAGACCTGAAGGAAAAGCTGCTAGTGGTTTAGCTGTCAGGGTCAACAGAATTGCAGTAGTTGAGTTTGCTTCCTGGTCGCCGAGGCAAAAAGGGAAACATGATGGTTGTTGGTTTTTCTTTTGGGCAAGGACAAAGCATGCTAGTTTCTTAGGGAAACAAGGCTTGTTCTAGCATTTGGAGCTAAAAGAGGTTTCTGACACTGAGATCCTTAGTGATATAAGGAGCATGTTACAATAGCAGATATTATGCTTACCTGCCTTTCAGTGAATACTAAAGACATAAGTGAAAAGGGCAGCAATTTTACCAAGAGCAGTAGCAAAGTAGTTCCAAGTCCATCTGACCTGAACCATGGATATGACTTCAAGCCGTAGGTGTGAGGGGCTTTTTCTTCCTTCTGAAGCTCTGATAGAATATTGCTTCTCTCAGCCAGCTGCGGGTCGCCCACTGGGGCTCCTGACCAGGGAATTAGGGCCCAGGAAATTAGATGTGCCATGAAAGACAGTGAGACCCTAGTTCTGAAGTGTGCAGGAAGGCTTCTGGAGGACGTGCTCCTAGAACTCCATCTTCAAGATGAGTAGCACTAAAGAGGCATGCAAAAGAGGAACACTGAGGCACCTGAGTTTGAGAAGAAGCCTGTGGTGCGGGGGATGTTGAGGAGGTAGATTGGGGAAGGAGGATTTCCATTTATCCGGAGCCTTCTAGAAACCCACACCTTTCCTCAAGGAGTTCCCGCTAACCCTCTCAGTATCCTGTGAGGTGGGTATTCATTGTATCCCTTTTTCACAGAAGAAAAACTGAAGGTCAGAGAGGAGTAAAGCTGAAGGAGGCTAGTAGTATTTTGAGCTGAAATTCTACTTGCTGCCTTGCCTCCGAATTCTGGATCCTTCCTCCCACAGCATGCTGCCTCCCTATGTAGCATGAGCTGTAGGAAACGAGCTCCGGGACTCTAGCTTCCCTCAGGTTTGGAGGAAGCTCCCAGTATGACCCTGAGTGAAACCCCATCCCTTCCTGCCTGCAGTCTCCCCATTTGAAGCAAGTTTAGACTAAGCTGGTCTCTGGGTTTCCTTCCTGCGGCACCACCGTTGGCTGCTCTGGGACCCCCGTGCTGGTCTTCTAAGGACCTGTCTTCTCTGGGACCAGCATCCAGGTCCTGACAAGATAAGTGGTGGCTTAGTCGGGACTTTTTCTCATCTTTTTATTGACCCCCTTCCAGAGGTCTACAAGCCAGGCTGGCAAGGCAGAGGCCATGTGGGCAGTGCTGGGGGTTTGTGGCTAACTCTGGCAGGATCCCGAAGGTTTTTCCTGCAGGGGAAAGACCTGTCTGGCCAGCTCACCGAGCACCCCAGCACTGGCACACCCTAGCTGCTGAGGGTGACCCAGCAGAAGGGAGTGGGGTCTGAAGAGCCAAGACGGCATGTGTGAGAGGGAATGAGAGCGCGGGGCAGGGTGGTGTATGTTTGCTGCTGTGAGTCAGTGACTGAGACATCCTGGCGTGCTGCCCAGAGGAGGTGGCCGGGTAACCCTACATTCCTCCACTGCTCTCAGTTTTGGGAGGAAGCTCCCTTTGCTCACCACAGCCTGAGCCAGTTTTCCCAGGATCCTTGGGGTCAGGACGCCTGCTCTTCCCTCTCCCTGACCCCATCTCTCTGGCTGCAAGGAATTTAAGGCTGCTATTGCTGGGACAGTGCTACATGATCAGACCTGACCCTGTCATTCTGAAAGTGAGGAGACTCAGTCCCAAAGACAGGCACGGTCTGGTCCAGGTTGCATGGTGAGTCCATTCCAGCATTAGTACTGGAATCCTAGCCCCAGGCTCTTTCCCAATGAATTCCTGCTGCCTGTTTCTCTGGGAGAGATTCCATCCCAGATTTCCTCACTGGATTGAGCCCCACTTCCTGGGTCTCCCTCCATCTGCTTTGTGGTTAGAGAGCTGGGTTGGGTTCCTGCTCTGTTGCTCTATTCTCTGACCAGCGGTTGCTGGGCTCTGTGCTAGGCACAGGGACATGGAGGGTCAGCCCTGGTCCCCCCTCACATAGGCTCACCATCTAGCTAATTCTCCTAGACTTTGTCACTTTCTGCCCAAAGGACCACAGACATGCTTTCTCAAGCTCACGGAGCCTCATTAGCCTTACTTGCAAAATGGAGCTGTTCATACTGTTAAGGAGTAGTAAATTATGGGTGGAGATGAGGGATTGTGGACTCTTTTCTCTCTGCTGGGACCCTTACTTCAGGGATCAGGCCACAATGATCAGAGCAGCCTGCCCCTCTGGAAGATTCCTTGAGTCCAGTAGCCCCACTCACCACCCAAAATGGGACGACCCAATGACCGTTGGTCGGAGCTGGGATAAGCAGGTGCCCTTCCTCACTGACGTCCACATTTCTAAAAGAATCAAAACAAAACCCTGTGTCCCTTTTTGCCCCTCTGTTCCAAGAAGTCAGCTGGGAACTGGAGCCACAGGACACATGTGGGTTGGCCCTGGGAGGGCCCCTGGGTACCAGGAGCCTGGGCCAGCCTGGGCCTGAGGCCAGCCAGGGCCTGGAGCCTTGGCCTGGGCTGCTCTTGCCCACAGGTGAGCTTGGCCAAGCCTCTGATCCTCAGGGCCTCAGGCTACTCTTCTGTGTGGGGAGTATTGGGCCTTGGTGACCTGATGTCCGAGCTGATGCTTTGTGATGTTCTTGGTGGCCTCCTGGCCCTCCCCCTTCTCTCAGCCTCTTGCCAGGGGTTATGTAATGATCTCTAGCTATAACCATCCACCCACCTTTCCCCTACTTCCTCCTTTGTATAGCTCTCTGCTGCCAGAGCCACTCATCGAGCCCTGAGAGCATCCCTCCTCCCAGCACAGGAGGGCTCATGCATTAGCAGCCGCCACCAGGACCACCAGCTCCCTGAAAGAGGAGAGCCAATGCCTGGGTCACCTATCCCTGAGTTACAGGCAGGATTTCTGGAGAGGAGACTAGGAAAGGCTGAGCTTAGAGTGATCTCTCTGTCCATCTGCTTCATTTCCTGCATGGTCCTACTGAAGCCCAGAGAGGAGGGACTGTCCTGAGGTCCCAAAGCAAGTCAGTAGCGGGGCTGGTATTGGAACCAAAGCTATCTGCTTCAGGACCCATGTTTTCATTTCTCTCTTCCTCTGCTGTGTGTCCTGTGGTATGAGCTTAAGCAAATTTCTGCTCCTCTCTGATTCTGAATTTCTTCTGTTTGGTGCCGGGGTAGGACAAACTTATCTGAGTACCTTTCCTGCCCTTGGGAGGCAGGGTGGGAAGAACGACTTGCTGGGAGTGTGTTCCAGACTCATGTTAGCCACGGGGCCTGGCCTGGGCACCTTGTTGGGCTGAGACTTTGCCACGGGAAACAGGGGACATGAGAGCAAGCATGTCAACAGAGACTTCATCAACAGTGCCTTCCTTCTCCCTACAGAATGGACACTCTGTCCAGCCCTGGTGGCAGGGGAGTATGGCTTGAAGACAGTATGTATCAGCCTGCTTTCTTCTGGGGACAGCTCCAAGGGCCATTAATCTGCAGCGTATCCCAAGGCAGCTCACTTAGTCAAAAGTCCCACCAGACAGATGTGTGGGGTGGGGGGGTGGGAGTGAAAAAGACAGCTGTGGGGCACCTGAGTGGCTCATTGGTTGGGCATCCCACTCTTGATTTCGGCTCAGGTCTGACCACAGGGTCATGAGATCGAGTCCCTCATAGGGCTTGGAGCCTACACAAGATTATCTCACTTTCTCTGCCTCTCCCCACCCTGCTCACTTGCACATTCTCTCTTTAAAAAAAGAAAAGAAAAGAAAAGAAAACTACAAAGAAAAGAAAAAGAGCCAGCTGACCTTGCACCAGGTAACATATTTTCATCCCAGTGACTTAGAGAAAAGCCCACTGGGTGACTCCATCTAGAGAGAGAAGAGGATGGGCAGCTCCTTTCTCTAGGCCTTTCTCCACCTTGCAATCAAAGCAACAGCCTAGACCAGGGCTCTCCCGGGGCGTTTTGCACTTGGGACTCCCAGACCCAGCCTTCAGTTCCAGAGCTGTAACAAGGGCACTGTTGGCTGCCTCTACTCTTCCCTTGACACAATCCTACTGTGCGGAAGCCAGCTCCAGGTTCCAGCTTTACTACAAGCTAGCATGGTGGGCACACCTGCTCTTCAGGAGGAGAACCCTCAGAACAATCTCCTTGCCACGCTCATGTAAAGCCAGGCCCGCTTTTAGAACCCCCCTCTCTGCCCACTCCCCAATAATCGTGGCTTACACTGCTGCCGTTTATGTAGTGGGCAGCAAAGCACGAGCTGGGTTTTGAGCAGCTTTAAGGTGCTTGCCAAAGGCAAGGTGGGGGAAGGAGTACCGAGGGCCTGAACAGCAGGGGGTGGAACTCAGGGGGTCTTGCTCCCACATGTCCCTGCAGTCATAGCCCTGGGAATGGTGTCGGCCACCATCTGCTCCATCCCCCCTCTGGCCTCTGTCACCTGAAGCTTCAGATTTCCATTTCCTGGGGCCAGACACCAGCACCCCTCCCCCAAATTGAGCACAAGGTCCTTTCCCTAGCCTGGGGTTCCCAAACTGGGAGTCATGGAAAACCCAGGCTGTTGACATTCCAGCAGTGGCTAGCGGCTCTGCCTCCAGCTGACATGCGTGCAAAGATATGGGCACTTTCCAGCCAGGGAAGGAAGTCGGGGGTGTTATCGACAGCACCCCCTAGAGGCAGGGCAGCCCACAGGACCAAAATGTTCATATGCCTGGCCCCAGGAGTTGTGATTTCTGGAAGTGTGTCAAACAATCAGATATGCAGACGACAATAAGGTATTTGTGGAAGCGTTATTTCTGAAGTGAATTTTGGAAGGTTTTTAAAGATCCATCCGTTGGAGTTTGATTAAAATTCTAGTGCATGCAACATAGCTATGCAACAGGATAATGAAGCCAAGAGAGACGTGGCTGGTGGACTGTGATGGAAAAAATAGTTATGATAGGGTTGGTAGAAAATTATGTAAAAAGGGGTGCCTGGGTGGCTCAGTCAGTTAAGTGTCTGCCTTCAGGTCATGGTCCTGGGGTGCTGGGATTGAGCCTCATGTCAGGCTCCCTGCTCAGTAGGGAGTGTGCTGCTCCCTCTCCCTCCGCTGCTCCCCCTGCTCATGCTTGCTCTATCTCTGTCAAATAAATAAATAAATATTTTTAAAAAAGAAAATCATGTAAAAATGATAGCAACCAATGTGCCCTTAATTTTGTGGTTTTAAAAAAAAAGAGCACATGTATATTTGAGTAACCAAAGAACTCACCACATCAGAGTGGTTTATCAGGATGGAGATAGGACGGGCACTCTGGATTATTTCTTGACTTTTTCCTGTATTTTTAAAAATACTCCTTAATTATTCACTGTTTTTCTAATCAGAAAAGAAGTGATGTTTCTGAACAAAATAAACCTTGCTCTCCAGCGCTCTTAGCACCATCTGCCCCTACCACGTCCCAGGCAATGCTGGGCAGGAGCCTCAGAGTCTAGGGCAACTTTACACTACTCCCACCCCCGCCAAGCCACCAACCCCAGGGCAGGGAGAAAGCCAATCGTTCTTTAGAGCATCCCGGGACAGCTTTGTTGATAGTACCACAGGTCAGCTGCCTGGCTGGCCCCCTGCCCCTGCTAGGGCTGGCACAGACCTGTGGCTTGCCCTTGTCCTTCCTAAATAGAGCACGAGCCGAGCCTGGCTGCCTGGAAGGAAGTTTGCATTCAGACCCGCTGCAGTGTCTCTTCTCTGGCCAAACTAAGGGACATGGACTTTACCTTGACAAAAACTGGACCCCCCTCTTTATCTGAGAGCGGCAGGGGGTAGATGAGGAGAATGAGCCCAGGAGGAGGGTGGGCAGGAGGCTAGCAGGGTGCAGGTGAGAGCACCTGGTGTGTCTGGCTGGAGAGGTGAGGGAATGAGAGGGCAAGTTTCTCACTCCCTTCCCAGGGACTCACAGTCTCAGTGACAGTTGCCACGAGTCTCAGGCGTGCAGAGTTGCATGGGGTGTGCAGCGCACCGGGTCCTTCCCCCATCTTCTGGGCTCATCCCAGCACCCATCTCCCAGCATTTCCTCTGACCTGAGCTTTTTCCCTGCAGCTGGTGAAGACGCACAACTTGCTGACCACCAGGAACTACATCTTCGGGTACCACCCGCACGGCATCATGGGCCTGGGTGCCTTCTGTAACTTCAGCACCGAGGCCACAGAAGTGAGCAAGAAGTTCCCCGGCATAAGGCCCTACCTGGCCACACTGGCCGGCAACTTCCGGATGCCCGTGCTGAGGGAATACCTAATGTCTGGAGGTGAGGGGCCTCCTCTGCTTTCCCCTGCCAGGCTCTGCTGTCCAGACCTGAGCCTCTCCACTGAGTGAGGGGATAGAGGGAGCAGGAGGCCAATACACCATGTCCCAGTGGCTGGTTGTGTGTGGAGAGACATAGAGGGCCCCAGGCATGGTGGACCAGGTCCGAGCAGGGGAGCTGTCCATTCGGTCTTCAGGATTTAGCTTGAATAACAAAGTCCCTAGGAAGCCTTCTCCGCCCCGGTACTGCCCTTTGCACAACCACGTTGCTGCCGGTGGTGCTGTCCTTATCCACCTGCTGTGACCCCTGCCACCCTAACTCCCCAGTATCCCCCAGCACCTTACAGGAGCCTGGCAGAGCTAGGACCTCAAGGAATGTTTGCCCAAATGAACGAGTTCCCTAAGCAACCTCGTATCATTATCCCCATTTTACAGATAAGCAAGTCAAGGTTCAGAGAAAGAAATAGCTCAGGCAGGGCTGTATAACTTCTAGGGGCTGGCACAGGTCTGGAGCCCAAGTCCAGGGCTCGTTCTGTTCATGCCTGGCTATAAGCAGGGGGTAGGGAGTGCACTTGTGGGCAGCCCTGACTCTGTCCTTCTCCCTGCCAGGCATCTGCCCTGTCAACAGGGACACCATAGACTACTTGCTTTCAAAGAACGGGAGTGGCAATGCCATCATCATCGTGGTCGGGGGCGCAGCCGAGTCCCTGAGCTCCATGCCTGGCAAGAATGCGGTCACCCTACGCAATCGCAAGGGCTTTGTAAAACTGGCCCTACGCCACGGGTGAGTGCCCCCTCCACGCACACACACACACATGCATGCGTGCACCAGCATGCACTGCATACACGGCCCTCCAAGGCTTTGTTTGGCCCCAGGAGAGCAACTCCTTGGCTCCTGGAGGCAAGGCCCAGACCCTAGGAAGACCTCGATGAGAGTTTGCTGTCCTGTGGAGGGGGGAGGTGGGAGGCCAGAGCTGCAGACCCAAGTTTGCCCAAGTGCAGCCCGAGTGTCTGAGCCGAGCAGAAATTGAGTCTGTGCGCCCTGAGCCCTTGCAGATGGGTGAAGAGGCCAGGCTTCTGTGTGGGACTGTGTACCCTCAGGCCAACATGTGTTATGCCGCTAAGAGAGCAAGCACAAGGCCCACAGTTAGGGTGTGATGGACCCTGGCTTCTCCCTTCCAGAGCTGACCTTGTTCCCACCTACTCCTTCGGGGAGAATGAAGTCTACAAGCAGGTGATCTTTGAGGAGGGCTCTTGGGGCCGATGGGTCCAGAAGAAGTTCCAGAAGTACATTGGCTTTGCCCCGTGCATCTTCCATGGCCGAGGCCTCTTCTCCTCTGACACATGGGGGCTGGTGCCCTACTCCAAACCCATCACCACCGTTGGTGAGCCCCCCTGCCTGCAGCCCCTGACCTCAGGGCACCCCTTTGCTGCTTTGTGGTGGAGTTAAGATTCACACCCAGGATCTGAGGTCCTCTGATGTCCATGCTGTAAACCTCGTGGATGTGGACCTGTTTGGGCGCTGATGGGAATGGCGAGTGGGGGTGGGGAGTGGGCAGCGGGGAATGAGTTCCATTACCACGAGCCAAGCAGTGCCAGGTGAGAAAACCGGACCCAGCAGTCCGTGTGCGCAGAGCCAGCAAGTCTATGAGGGAAGACCGGAAAGACCAGTCTGTTAAGCAAAGACCAAGAGGGTGTGTGTGGGGAATGTGCAGCATGCTCTGGGGGGTTATAGTGGACCCCAGAAAAGAGGTGACTCTTACACCCTAGCTGAAGAGGAATTACCTAGCAAAAGAGAGGAGGAGAGATTTGTTGGAAGCATGAGCCCGAGTGGACTTCCCACAGCAAAACTGTGTAGATTTTTGAGGAATAGAAAGAAAAACATCAACGTGAATGGAGCATAGGCCTCTGAATAGTATAGCAAGAAAACCGGCTGCAGTTGTCCCTCAGCCATGTTGTTCTGGGTGTGTGTGTGTGTGGTTCACAAGCCAGAGGTCACACACAAGTGTGTAGGCCACCAGGCGTGGACTTTCAGGCTCAAAGTTCACATAGATACTAGTCAGGTGTTTTGCTTTGTATCTTTACAAAGTCTAACTTCTTGCACCTTGGGCCCCAGACCCAAACTCACTGTCTGCTCTCATTACACACAAATCCTATTCCAGGCCTGATCGCTCTGAGGCAGCAGGGACATTTCCACGCGCAGATGTGGCTGGAGAGGGACAGGTCCTGTGGGCCATGTGAAGGGGTTTACGCTTCCTCTTAAGAAAGGAGATCCTTAAGAATGGAATCCTTTAGAAGGCTTGAGGGTTTCGGGGAGGAGAGGTTCACAACTGCACTTTCAAGTGATTCTTGGACTGCTGGATAGCCAGTGGGTTACCAGGGTGAAAATGGAAACCCCCGAAAACACGTGCAGATGCCTCTCTGGCAGCCGTTGGGGACCGAGATGGCGAACTGGAGGGATGGAAGGAAAAGGCGTGAACTGGGGAGAAATTTCCAAAATGTCTTTACCAGTGCTTCGGGGTGAGTTGGGTGTGGAGATGCAGGAAATCGAGCAATGCGTGCGTGGATGAATGTTGCCGCCCCTAGGAGGAAGGATTCCTTGGGACAGGTGAGGGAACTGAGGCTCAGAGAGGCAACGTGACTTGCCCAGAGTGCGGCAAGAACAACGCCATCACTTGCTCCCAGAGCCCTCTCAGGAACTGCCTGTCAAGGGCAGTGGGGACAACCTGAGCTGGAGCACAGTTAGCAGAGTTCCCGGTACGTGGCTGGCACCTGGCACGGGGTCACTGCCGTCAGTGTTGGGCGGGAGGCTCTCAGGGAGGGTGGCCTGAGTGGGCTGACTAACCGGAGGCCTCTGCCCCATCCCCGCAGTGGGTGAGCCCATCACCATCCCCAAGCTGGAGCACCCGACCCAGCAGGACATAGACCTGTACCACACCATGTACATGGAGGCCCTGGTGAACCTCTTCAACAAGCACAAGACCAAGTTCGGCCTCCCGGAGACCGAGGTTCTCGAGGTGAACTGAGCCCACCAGCAGGAGTCAGCTCCTGGGAGAAATCAGCTACAAATCCTTTTCTACCAAGTTCTCGAATGCTTTTTTGTTCTGTAAATTTGGAAGCGTCATGGGTGTCTGTGGGTTATTTAAAAGAAATTATAATAATTTTGTTAAACCATCACAAATGTTAGGTCTTTTTTAAGAAGGAAAAAAATATCTCAAGCTCTTTCACTTCCAGTTTGACCTGCTCTAGGTGGTGGCTAACACATCTGGGCTAACCCTTCTTCCTTTTCCAAAATCACAGAGAAAACTCAGTCCTGGTTGACTGGGAAAGAAGGACAGCCATCTGCAGCTCAGGCCGGTTGGATTATTTGCTTTTTCCCACCTCAGAAGCCACTTGTAATACAAACACCTCTATTCCAAATTACCTACCCCAAACGTAACCGCAGGACTGGTCCCTCTTACCAAGGGGAAGACTTGGAGAGCACAGTTGTCTCCATCTTGAAGAGTGCCATGACGAGCATCTGGAATGTTCCACTTGTGTCCAGCCAGTCTTTTAAATCTGAGGCCTCCAGAGCAAGAATAGGGGGTGACAATGACTCTGTGCCCAAATGCACCATCTCTCTGGGATCATTCAGCCACCGTGTCTGGTTGGAGTGACTGGTCCTCCACAGGGTTCTGACACAAACCCAGAATGACACGGACTTGGCCTGAATCACATAGTTTCCCGTGGCCTCGATTTGTTTAACCCACACCCCCCATTGTGGCTGTGAGGAAAGGGTCCCTCTTCCCGTTCACAGAGGGGCCTGGCCTTCTGAGCAGCAGATTGGCCTTCAGGTCAGGAGGCCCCTGAACCCAAGCCTCGCATATTTGTGCCTTTCTGAGAGGTTAGGGGCCAGAGAAGAAATCCAGCCCCTCCTCTGCATGTTCTGTTTTCTTTCGATGGAGATTATTGTACCATGTCAGACTTTTGTATTTTCCAAAGTGAATAAATAAAAATGAGAGTCCTCTGTGAGTTCTTGCTGGGGCTACAACTGCACCTTGCTACCAACACTTAGGGAAACCCTGGCCCCATCGGGGCTGCCTGCCAAGCTTTCCTCCTTGCTCCTTTGGGCTATGTGACCCTGTGTGGTATCCGTTATCCAGTGCTGTGTGACAGAATCCTCCAGAATGCTGTGGCTCCAAACAACATCGTGTCCACCACACAATCTGAGAGTCTGTAGCTGAGGTGCAGCTTAGCTGAGCCCTCGACTTCAGGGGATCTCTCAAGGCCACAGTCAAGGTATCAAACAGGGCTGCCATCATCGTAAGGCTTGACTGGAGGAGGCTCCACTTCCAAGGTCATTCCTGTGGTGGTTTCTAGGGTTCGCTTCCTCACTGGCTATTGACCAGAGGCCACTCTTAATTGCTTACCACATGGGCCTTTCCGTGGACTAGCTCACGATGTGGCAGCTGTCTTCATCAGAGAGAGTAAGGAGGAGGAGCCAGAAAGAATGTGCAAGGTGGAAGTCACATTATTTTGTAACTTAATCTCAGATGTGATGTCCTATCCCTTCTGCCATATTCTCTCCATTAGCTGCAAGGGACTCCATTCCAACTTTCCTACTGCCTAAGTGCCCACCCTTGCCATTCATTCATCCACTTCAAGGACCACTCCTCTGTGTATCCAGTGTTGGGTGCCTCATTGAGCTGGGACCTCAATGCCTAACTTGGGACTTGAAGGGTGACTGGAAGTTTGGCAGGAAGGAAATGAGAGGCAGAGCCAGAGCAACGAGTACCAAGACAGGGAAGACAGTGCTGCTGGTTTGAAGGAGGACGTGGTGGTAGATAGGTCTGCAATGGGGCTTGGCTTAGAAGAGCAGGAGAGTGGACTTCTCCAGAGTTTCTAGGTGGGCAGGAGAGCAGGAAGCAAGAGGAGGCCCCCTGGAGAGGCTTCAGGCTTCAGGCCCGCAGAACTCGGGCAGAGGACAGATATTTCCTTTAGGGTGGAGGAAAGGCCTGTTTTTTTATGACGGTCTCAGCCCCTTTCCAGCCCCAGTCTGAGGTTAGCCATGATCGTCAGCCTCTGGCTCCAGGCTAAGAACTGGCCCCAGGCAAAGAACTAGGCCTCCTTACAAAGGTAGGCCCTTATTCTCTGCATGGATTTTGTGAAGATTAAACATCTACTGTGCGCTAGGGAACTCCACCATCTCTGAATACCAACAGCAACAATCTGCAGGCCCCCAAATCCCAGAGGGGGACCTCACCTAAGGCAATGTCTAGCAGCAGCCTGCGCAGAGCAGAAGCCTGTCTGCTCTAAGCAATGGGTGGGAGGCTCTAGGTAAATGCTGTGGTCATTTGGGAGTTATTACCTCCGGAGAGGAAACGGGATAGGATCCTCCTTTTCCAGCTGATCATCAGCTTTTGGACTGCGTAGGTGGGGCTGTAGTCTGTCGTCAGTTCCATGATTCTACTTGTGGTTCACAGATATGGCCACTAGAGGGCAGCGGGGCTAGTTCTGAAGCAAAAATCCCACACAGGGCAGGGGGGCGGGGCCGGGGGGGTGGTGGTGGTCTAATCACTGTGTGTTACTTCAGCGCTTCTATCCTGGACTAGAAGCCAGAGAGAGTAAAACTCAGACTCACAGACGCTCAGAGCTAACCAGGAACACTTCTTTTTCCAGGGTCTTAAGGTGGAAAGTTAAGAGATCTTTTTTTCTTTTTTAATATGCTTGCATATATAAGATTTGCTCTAAAACTGCTTTTGCCACATCCCGTAGGTTTTGGTGTCTTGTGTTCTTATTTCATTCATCCTAAAGTTTTTCCTAATTTCTCTTCGGATTTTTCCATTGACCTGTTCGGTTACTTAAGAAAATGTTGCTTAATTGACACATATTTGCTATTATCCCAAATTTTCTTTTGTCGTTTATTTCAAATTTTATTTCAGAGAACATACTTTGTATGATTTCAGTCTCTTTGAATTTATTGAGAATTCTCTTACGACCTAATAGATGGTCTGTCCTAGAGGATGTTCCATGTGCATTTGAGAAAAATGTGCATTCCACTCCTGCTTTTGAAGTATTTTCTAGATAGCAGTATTTTCCAGATGTCTGTTAGGTCAAGTTAGTCCATAGGGTTGTTCAAGTCTCCTGTTTCCTTGTTAATCTTGTTGATCGTCTAGTTTTTCTATTCTTTATCGAAAATGGGGTATTGAAGCCTCCAACTATTGTCATTACATTGTTTATTTTTCCCTTCAATTCTGTAAGTTTTGCTTCCTTTATTTTAGGAGTCTGCTGTTACATATGTCTGTGTCCGTAATTGTTACTTCTTGCCGTTGGAGTCACCTCTTTGTCATCATAAAATAACCTTGGTCTCTAGTAAAAATTTTTGTCTTAAAATCTATTTTATTTATCCTGTGGACATATACCCATCCAGCTGTCTTTTAGTTACTATTTACATGAAACATCTTCTTCCATCCTTTTCCTTTCAGACCTGTTTGTGTCTTTGAATATGAAGTATATCTTTTGTAGGCAGAATAGCGTTGAATCTTTTTTCCTTTCGTCCATACTTCTACTTTCCGCCTTTCTCATTGGAGTGTTAACTCTATTTACATTTAATAGAATTGCTGATAAAGTAGGATTTACATGTGCCATTTTGCCATATTTCTTTCTTGTTCCTCTCTCCCTCCACTCCTCCCTTCTTTTCTGTTAAATGTCTATTAAAAACTGTTTTAATTCTCTTGTTGAGTCTTTTACCCTATGTTTTGTTCTGTATTTTTTCCCCACAAAATACTAGTTTTGTTTGAAAGAACGAGTGACAAATATAGCTATCAGATTTGAGTGTTAGGCAATTTCTTAAAAATGAACAAAGTAAGCCACCCACTTCAAGAAACCTGACAGTATTTGCTCCCAATTGTAAAATCTAATATTTGAGGAATAATATAATTCTATAAAGCTTGTATCTGCCATGATATTTGACAGATTCCTAATACTTAAGAAACTTCTCCTGAGACTGGCAGTATTTTTGTACTAAATAATTACATGTGTCAAATTTCAGTTGCTCTATGTTTTTAAGTTATTATCTTAGTGGTTACCCTGGAGATTAAAATTCACATCTTAATTTAAAACATTCTCATTCAGATTAATAAAAACTTAATTTCTTCATCTTTTGGCTGGCTGGCCTGAGGGGCGAAAGGGGCAGGCCATACCCACGAATGTTGTGGCAGATTGAATAGTGGCCTACAACGTATGTGTATGCATCTTAACCCCTGCAATTGGTGAAGGAATGTGACTTTATTTGGAAAAAGGGCTTTGGCAGATATAATTAGGTCAAGGATCTCAAAATGAGATAATCTTAGATTATGTAGGTGGGCTGTAAATGCAATGACAAGTGTCGTCTAGGAGAAAGACACAGGGAAACGGGAGAAGACCATGGAGAAGGCAGCCCAGGCACATCACAGCCACCAGCAGCCAGAAGAGGTGAGGAAGGATTCTCCCCTAGAGTCTTTGAGGGAGCAAAGACTTCCCGACACCCTGATTTTGGATTTCTGGCACACAGAACTGGGACAGAATGAATTTTTGTTTTCAGTCAGCTCGTTTATGGCTTAATCTAATACAAACAGTGACCTTCAATATATTTCTATCACCTAATGGAGGAATTGTATCCGTGGATGCAGAGTCTGGTCTTCTCATCAAAAAAATATTGAACAACATGGGTTTGAACTGCCCATGTCCATTTACACATGGACTGTTTTTGATAAATGCGATATAGTGCTGGAAATATATTTTCTCTTCTGATTTTCTTTTCTCTAGCTTACTTTATTGTAAGTACACAATCTATAATACAAATAACATACAAAATATTGTTAATCAACTGTTTTTGTCATTGGTAAGGCTTCCGGTCAAGAGAAGGCTATTAGCAGCTAAGTTTGGGGGGAGTTATACTAGAATTTTTGATTTTATGTCCGGGGATCAGCATCCCTAACACCCATGTTTAAAAGTCAACTGTATTTCACTTTTCTTTAAACGGGGCAGGCTGCAGTTTTGGAAGGCACTTTTTCCTGATACTTCTGAGAGGTGGAAGAAATTCCCCTGTAATGGTAATGAATATGATTGCTAGGAGAAACATAGGAAATCTTTACATCCCTTGGCTTCACCCATAATTTTTATAACCAATCTCTCTCCCATACGTATTGCAAACT